AGAGAGAGAGAGAGAGAGAGTTGGTGAACAAGGCTTGGCATTTATTGGAGGTGGTGTGTCTATGGTGTCTATGTCTGTGCATTGCTTGGGCAGAGTCCGTATGTTTGGGCTGAAGTCCATTATATGGAGTCGTAGTAATAATTCGCACCTCCGGTCGCTTTTAATTATACGCCGGCAAAACAGGATCAATAGTCACGCGGCGGCATCCCTTTGAGGGCCCATTTTTGGTACAAATTCTGGCATCTCTTTAGTGGTGCTATGGCTGGGCTTCGGGCTATCAATACATCTCACTTCTAACGATGCTGTCTATTGGCGTTGTGGGTGATAGTGAGCAACACTACCACCGCTACCCAAACTACCCAATACACTATCACTCGTCAGTATATAAGTTGCCTTCAATTGACTTTTACTACATTCAGGATTTACTCCACATTTTAGCCAAAATGTCATTTGAATGGTGCGAACGGCGGCTCAACAGCCAAATCAAGACTTACTTATTGTTCTCATGTTATTATGTTATGGAGTAGTAGTTTGGCCTCAAGTGAGCCTCAACTCAAGTACTTGTTGTCCGCATACCATTCAAATGACAATTTCGGCACCTCTTAGACCTAACTGAGGGGTACTTTACGCACAATAATAGCCTTGAGAACCCATGTATATAAGTACCCAGGCTTTATATAAGTACTATCTATGTATTATTGATACGGTTAGCATTTCTCAAATAATAATTATTCAATAATGCATTTCAAGAAATATTTTAGAAAAGCGTTTACAATGTAAGCCTTCAGAGCCCTCGCAGTCTATTCTTATCATACAATAAACAATCGGAATATAATGGAAATAATAATAATAGAAAGTTCATTTCATTTACATGTCTTTCAATTTTGATTATTTGAATCAATTTTTTAGATATGATAAATTAGCAAATGATTTATACATCGCATTATATTTTGTTATAAATTTAATTTCAATCAATGACAATATATTAACTTTTGTTAAATTTCTTGAAAGTATTTAAGTGAAAGAATCTAAAGAATTTTGCTTTAATTTAAAATGAATAATTATTTGATGAAATTTTTCCATTGCTAATACTAAATCATTTTTAGAAAATTTATTTTATAATAAAAAGTATTGTTTTGATTTTAATTTCCATTCAAACTGATTAATGTTAAATTTATAAACCACGAAATATTTAAATATATGCCATGAATGTGAGGTAATATGTACATCATGACCAATGACATCAGCACAAACGTTTACTTTTTATTTTACGTTTTATGTTTACTAATTCACTGTTGAGTATAAAAGTGATAAATAATTTATTTGAATGAACGGAGTCTTAAATGCAATAACTTTTAGCTTTTGAATGGAAAAGTATTTTCGCAGAGATTATACAGTTGCAAAATACAAATGATTAAGTGTGTTGAGTATAAAAGTGATAAATAATTTATTTGAATGAACGGAGTCTTAAATGCAATAACTTTTAGCTTTTGAATGGAAAAGTATTTTCGCAGAGATTATACAGAAATCTCATATATAATCTTATAAACATTTATACCGACTCAAACATCATAAACAAACCGTATTGATTACAGCCTTACGTAACGACAGCTGTGTCGGAGAGTAGGTAGGAATTACACGAAAATATCGCTAATTCGTTGAGAAAAGTGTTGGTCTCATATGTATCGCATTTACATCATGTCTAACACACAACTGAATTTCTAAATTATGCTACAATTGTGTGTATTCTTTAATATATGTGATAATAGGCAGGCATACAGTGCCTACCAGTGCCTACAATCCTACTTCATTAGGCTTCGCACGTCTTAATGGCAGTGACGACGAGTGGAGAATCATATCATTCCTCACATTCCTCTTCAAATTGAGTTTCTCTTTGCCTTCACTTCACAGCATCTCTGCCTTCAATACAATCACTGCATTCGGACACTACTATAGCCATACACTACACACACATTCATTATATAATACATACAATCCATACAACAATCACTTATTCTGTACTACACTCTACTCTACATCGATGGGCACGACAGGCATGAATAGGGAATAGGTATTCATTGCCACAAATAATAAAAAGGCTGCACAACTCCTAACGCGATAATCTATTGTGAACCCCAACTCAAAGTCTCTCTCTCTCTCTCTCTCTCTCCCTCCCTCTCTCCAATGTGTATAAATTCTACACAGATATAACATATATCGGGCAAATTCTGTATTCTTCCAATTTATTGATATTATTACATTATGTGACAACTTTTTAAATATAGTTACTGTACCAAACAAGTTATTAATAATTTGATGAAATTTTGACTTTAATTAAATATCTGAAACTATTTATATCTAATAAATAACAACTATTTTATGAGTGATATAAAGCATATAAATTAGAAAATGTGCTATAATAATGATTAATTTATAATTTATAAAAATAAATTTATTTAGATTAACATATACTGGTACTTTTAAATATATTACAAATTAATACTACAAATAAAATTAAAATGATTTATATTATAAGTAAATATTTTGAATAAGTTTCAAAATAAATATCATATAAAGAATCATAGCTCCCTATAAAGTATCACATGTGCCCGGAATGTGTGATCTCTGTAATATTATGTGCAATATTGAATCAAATATATACTCATCGGATCCACTCATTCCACGTGTTTGAGCAATCATTTCGAGGCTATTTAAGCCGATCTAACCTAACGGTGCAAAACGACTATAAGCGCTGCTATTAATCACTTGCAAACTCATAATAACGGCATTACTTCCACTATAAACTTCACAATCAAAAGCCCCGTTCTGTCAAAAATGGTTCAAATATTACATAAAATACATCTAATGTTATATTTTATTATTGTATTCACACTCAAGACTATAACTAATAATGTTTTGTGTTTCCATTCGTTTGACTTCTAATTTGAGATCAATTTTTCAGATTTTATTTTTATAATTCATTAGAGGTTTCAAAGAGAAGTAGAAATCATTTTAATTCCATATGAATAGCATTTGACTATTTTTGCTCAATTCAAAAGTTAAGTTTTGAAATTCATTTTTCATTTGAAATCATTTACCAACAGTTAGTAATTAATACATATTATTATCTCACTGTACATATCACTAAATATTTTTAATGAGCTCTAAAGTGTTTTATCTATGATTATCAAAGTATTTAGTTTTATATAAAATTTTGTTTTGTATATAAAACCAATCAAAAAGTTAAGAAAATAATTTGATTAATAACGAGAGATATTTTTAAGTAAAGACTTGAGACATTAATTAAGTCATAATTAATTTTGCAAATTATTCCCGATTTTTATTAATGAAATGACTTTTATTTGATTCTAACGATCGATTAAACATAAAGTAATGAAATTTTTGATTATTTTATTTCTAAATAAAGTATTAATCATTTTGAAAAAGCAATAATCGGCCAATGATTACATTACAGACTTTTGACTACAAATTATATTACTTTTTAAATCAAACCTCCTTTAGGCATATAATTTTCAATATTTTTATGATTAAAATGCATTGAAATAAATAGAAATTAACCTCAAATCTCGAAGCATAAAATTATAAGTTTTTCAAATTATGCTTTTACTAATTAAATGTAATTATAGAAATTTTTGTTATATTTACTTGTATCACAATAGTAATAAAAATACATAACACATTAAAAAATAAAATATTGCATTTATAATTTAATGAATGCACCACTTGATATAGTTATAATGTCTTTTAATGGTTAAATTAAATAACAATCACTGTTTATAATATTTAATGTTTACTTAGAACTCAATTCGAGATTAAAGCTAATTTTGTGTAATATATAAATCATTATGTGTTTCATTTATGAATATAAATTGAAATAATGATTAGCAATGTTATATACACATTACAACTTAATGTTGATTGAATTTGTGTTGACTAAGAATGATAGGGAAAGCAAAGATAAGTTTAGGTATAATGTGAATGTGATGTAGAGTTGGGGCACTACTGGTCCGAAAACAATGAAGATTAATGACGATTCATAAGATGTGACTCGAGATGTAAATAAATTGAGTGCGTTTATGATCTGCAGATGGGAGATGGGTCCGCACCGGTATTATAAGAAGCATTCAATTCAGAAAGTCTAGTAAATGAGGCAATGGATAAGACGCCGCTTCTCTCCACTCCACTAATGAGTGAATACTTTTCTCCCGACCCCTCTCTCCCCAAACAAATGTATGCATAACTAACGCGAAAGTCGTAACTTTTAGTCATTTAATTATTCGCCTCAAAAACATTTCTAGTTTTCTCTTTGCTTTTTCCACCAAAGCTTGTAATGAATACAATGAATACAATCGATTCATTTGTTGAAAAAGTAATTTTCGTTTCACTTAATGTTTTAAAAGTGATTAATTGTCTTAAAATTAAGATAAAAACAAAATATAGTCACGAAATGAAGCCCAATCGAGACTAATGGAAAAAATTCTTACTTAATAAAAAATATTTTCGTCAGTTAATTATTTTAAATCTCTCTCTCTCTCTCTCTCTCTTTCTTTCTCTCTCTCTCTCTCTATTGTGAATTAAAAACAAAAGTTAAAGAAAGGCGAGGTATGAGGTATTAAATGTGTTATATTATTATTACAAGTATTCATAGGAATGGTAGATAACTTGCGAGTTTGATATTTAAGATAAAAATAATGATTGCCTGTTTTGACCACATATTTAGGTGAAACGGGTCTAATATGAGACCAAACAATGTTATGATTACATGTAATCAAAGCGTTCCCATAACTAAATAGTATTTTATTTTAGATTATAGTTAAGTGAATGTGTGGGTGATTATCCATTTGAATGAAGCTATTTGGCAATAAGTTATAAATCTAGCCCATAGACTGTGAATGCTTGACTTTTAATTCTTTGATATGTTTTCTTGAAAACATAAAACTTAATATTTTTAACCTTTTTGATTATAAAATAAAACAAAATAAAAGGTAGAGCTTTATAAAAGTTAGACAATGGAGTATAAGTTTATATTTAGAAATTGTTTTTCCAATTGTAAAGGAATTGTGAAAATGTGTTTCATTTGGGGAGAAATTGTGAGCATTTTTCATGAGCTGGCAATCCATGGATTCCGTGATTCATTCAATTCATTAATTTGAAAGAAGATATTATTCTTAAGAGAGTTTTATTTTAAAAACAAAATTAAACACTAATTTAGGGATAACTTAAGTAAAGATAATTTATCTTTTATTGCATTCAAATAGGAGCAAAGAAGCGAGACTTCAATTCAAATGTCAAATACAAACACTTAATCTATATTTTGTAATTAATTATAATCACAACTAAAAGATGTGTGATTTGTTGATTGCTTTCAGAGATGTCCTAAAAATAGTCATCAAATATAGTCATTAGAGAGTGGAGTCCAGTGTTTTGGGCAAAACTATTTAGGGTTTCATTGAGTTCCTGTAATAAATGCCATAAATTTATTTTCTTCATTTAGTTGATCAGGAGGTTCGTGAGGGGATGGGATGTTTAGCGAGGGGTCTTAACCCGGGGACCAATTCATGAATGTGATGCCAGTCTCACAAAGA